ATTCTTTTCCTTAATTTTTTATTATTACAATATTTTATTATTATTTTAACATTAATAAATATATTAATAAATAATAAATAATATAATAATAATAAAAAATTATAATTAACAATATAAAGAATAGAAGTAAAGTATAATTCTTATTTATTGTTTATATATTATGTAAAGCTATGTTAATTATATAATCATGTAAAAATTTACATTTAATTTTTTTTCAACTTGTTTATTTAAAAGTTTAATATCGATGTAATTTTTGATATTTTTTATTATTATTATTTAAATTGTTGTGATTATTATTTAAAAGTTCTAAAATTTCTTGATTATTTTTACTATTAAGATTTAAAATTGATCCTCTAAAATTCAAATCTATTCATCACAAAATGCATTAAATAATAATACATGTTTGATTGATGGAATCAAAAAAATTATAATTTATATTATAAATATAATTATTATTTTCCCTAATTGATTTTATCTATTTACTAAAAATCTGAGTTATAATTATTTTATACGTTATCAATAATGTAATCTGATCTGTTTGATTACTAATTTGTTATTCTTAATCTCAATATCAAAAAGTCTATATATAACGATATAGCTTGTTGTTTAAATTTTGAAAGAATTAAATGTTTTGATAATGTTGAAAATTTCAATTTCCAATTCTGTTAGAGATTTATCTATATTATTGTTTTTAATATTTATAAGAATTTAACTTCTGTATTTAAAGATATCTCTGTATTTAATATTATTGACTTTGTGATTAAATGTTTTAAAAATAATTTTTCTAAAGGATTAAATTTCATAATCTAATACTATGAATTAATTTCAAATAAATAGACAAATAAATGATTTAAATAGATTATAATACTTCTGAGATGAAAAAAAAAGAAATGCTTAAATATTCTAACTAAAAAGTTAGTAGTTAGTAAAAAAAATTAAATATTTTAGTTTGGGAAATATGTAAATAATGTTACTATATTCAATTATTTATTATTAAATCTGTCGATATTAATTTCCATTTATTAATATATCTTTGACAAATAAAGATGACATTACTTTCTGACGATTAATTTTCATTTATAACATTTTATCTACAGTAATATGTAATTAATATAGATTGCTGTTATAATATTGCACTTATAATATATTGCGCTATTATAATATTTTCAACAATTATTATTAATCTTAAATTTAAACATATTTCAAATAAGCAGTTTTTAATTTAAAAATTATGTTTTAGAAAACAAATAATTATTTTATCTTTTTATGAAATAAAAAAAATTGTTAATTTATTGTTTATTTATTGATTTTTAGTCATTAACAATTAGTATTAAAAATTCAATATGCCATGACTTTTGCTAAAATATTTCTTTAAAAAATTTTGTTAAAATATTTCTTTAAAAAATTTAGAATACTATCATATACTGGATCGGAGAAATTTATATTGTTTCTTTTGACAAAAACTTGCTATTAACGAAAGGACAACTTATATTCATTGCAGTTATCATAATATTTATTGTTCATTCCATCCTTTATAAATATTTGGCAAGTAATCTTTCTATTTATTAAATTTATCATTATAAATTTATTAAATTTAATTTTGTTTTAAAATAAATTCTCAATTTACATAAAGACAAGAAATTATCAAATTTAAAAATGATTCATTAAAAAGTGAACAAAGGCTAATTCTGTTGATTTTTCTGTTGATAATTCTGTTGATAAGATATTTAAAATCTCTAATGCTTGTTTTATTTTTAAATATTTTGAATATTAAAACAAAAAAAGAAAAAATATAAAATGTCAGATCGAATCGATATTATAAATATATCTATATTTTTGATTTTTTTCTCAGGTAACCAAGAATAAACAAATATTACTCATTGCCATAATCTTTTTGTTAAATTATTTGGCGAGTTTGATTTCATCTATTATATTAATGGGAAAAAAGAATATGATAATTGTATTATTTATTTTCCAGAAGATATACAATGAAACAGAATAATAAATAGCAATAGTAGAAGCAAAATATTCATGTGATTAATTATTGCACTTGAAATTGTTAGCTAATTGATTATTCATCGATTTTAGGAATACAATTATTTTATTTTCTAAGGTTCTTTCTAATAAATAAACTGTAATTCTAATCAAAATAATAATTAATGACATAATTTATTTCAGTATTTCTTGAGATTTTTCTTTGAGAATTTTTTTAAATTTTACGTATTATATATTACACAAAATTAATTAAAGTATCTCTTTCTTCTTTGAAAATTTAAAAAAAAATTGCTTTTTTTGATATATTTTTTCAAATATAGTAAAAGTCAATAATTCTTATTTTTCTTATTTTCTAATTCTTACATTTATTTTTTAAACCAAACAATAGACAATTTTTATAATCTAATTCATATTTAATATACAAATATAATATAATAAAAATTCTTTTTATAAAATTTAAAAATTTTATTGATTTGTTTTTTGTATCATCATTTATGATAAAAATAGTTCTTAGAAAAAAATATATCAAATATTTGATTTTTATATTACTAAAAAAAATATATTTGTAGTATGAATCTGCATATAAAATTTAATATATATTATTATTATTATATTATTATTATTATTATCATTATTATTTTGCGAAAATCATAAAAATTTATATATTATAATTGTATTATAATTGAGGATATATATAAAAATTGCAAAAGATTCTGATTTTGAACGAAAAATGTAGTAAAATTATCAAATAAAAAGATATATAAAAAAAAACATATTTTAGTTTAAGTGGGAAAAATATTTAAATATTTATAAAAAAATTGGAAAATTTATTTAAAAAATAATTGGAAAAGAAATATCATCTAAAAAGAATAAGATCGTGCCAAAAGAAAAATAAATGGACAATTTTAATAGAAATGCAAAATCATAAATTATAGTAGTCATCTAATATATCAATTTTTTTTATCATGTCAATTTTCCAGAATTAATGTTAATTATATATTATCAAACTTTTTTATAAGTTTTTTATATAAATTATTAAAAGATATTATTTTTAAATTTATGTAATAGAACATAAGAGAACATTAAGAACATATTTTTTTAAATGATGAATATTATATGTCGAAGAAATATATACTATTTGGATTAAACTTGAATTATTATTAACCATACAAAGGATAAAGTAAGGATAAAATATCAAAGAATTTGAATTTTGGAGCAGTATTTTTAAATAAATTTTCAGCATAATTAAAAATTTCTCTCATAAAGAAAAATAATTAATTATTACATATACTTATGATAAGAGTTTTGATAAATACAATAATGCTTTATGCATTTTTGAATTTTAAAATACTATAATAAAAACTTATGAGAAAATGAATTAAGATTGTTTGAGAAATAGTTTTCATAATTTATAGATAAATTTAAAAATTAGAAATTGAAAAAATATTAACAACAATCAAAAAAGAAATATTAATAAAAAACTGATATTGTTAAAAATATAGCAATTTGCTTAATGATAAAAATTGGATTGCATGGTAAAAGAAATTGAATTTTTATGCAGTGCATGAACAAAAATAAAAAATATTATTACATCTTTAGCTTTTTAATCTTTAGCCTTCCATGATATTACTATAAATAATATTCTATTGAATCAATATGATCAAATAAAGAATTATGTTAAAATATGAGCCATTTATTTTGAAAGTGGCCTAAGTCTGTTTTCCAAAAAATTAATTATTTTAATATTTACATTTCTATTGTTATGTTTCCATTTTGAAGCAATTTATAATATTTAAAATCTAGCAATTTATAATATTTAAAATAATTAATTAAAATAAATAGACATAGGCCAATAATAGACATTTTCAAAATAAACGACTCTAATAATAATATTGTAACATTAAAGTTTCAAATTATGAAAAATTTGTTCTATAAAGCAAATACAGCGAAGAAAAGAAAAAGATATATTCATTGTAATTATTAAAATTGAAAATAAATTTTTCAATTAAATTTTATTATTCAAAGTATAATCAAAACTTTTGAAAAACGTTTGAATTTGATATTTTCTTATTTGAACTTCGATATTGATTGAATTCAGAATAAAAAATATTAATTGTTTATAATTTATTTTGTAATTTCATTTATTTTATTATTTAGGTATATAGTAAAAAACATAAATGATTCAATATTCAATGAAAAATTATCGATATTTGTAATTATTATAACTTTTGTAAAAAAAAAAAAATCAACAATCAATTTTATTTTAAACCTCTATTTTCATAATTCTGAATTTGTTTTTTTTTTTTAATTATATATCAATAAACAAAAAGATAAAGATTTTTTCTTTAATTTTTAAAAATTAAATCAAGATATTAAAAAATTTTTTTATAATTGAATCCACAATATTTAAAATATAATGAAAAAATACGATATATCTCCTTTGTTATTAAAAGTGTTTCAATTCCTCTCCGATGAATTTCCATAAGAGAATACATTCCATTACATTATTTCCATTGCCATTACTGGCAAATGATGATCCTCCTGCAGAAATACGTCGTAGAAAAATTAAACTATTTTTAATGATAGAAACAGTAAAATATCATGTTCGTTTATGTTAATTTTAAAATTTTTTCTTCATGACTTCCTAAAAGTTACTATATAATTTCTTTTAATTATTGAACTTTAAATATTTTCAAAATCAGATGACAAATTAAAAAAATATTAAATTTTCTCTATTTTTAAGTATATCCAAAGTTCAATAATTTGGCGAAAAAAAATCTCAAAACAAATTTTGAGAGATTTTTAAAAAAAAATTTCAATTTTGCAAATCTATTATGAATTCAACTACAAAAAAGATTTTAGAGTTTTTGCAACCGATTAAATCTTTTAAATTTTTAAGAAGAAAAGTATTCTTACTTTCCTATTTCCTAATGATATAAAAACGATCTTAAAAAAAAACGAATTTAAGATTGTAGAAAATAAGAATTTAATATTTTAAAATAAATTTAAATTGATTATTATACGATTTTTTTCTACAAAATTATAATAGTTTATAATTTTTTATTGAATATTGATTCGAAACTTATTTCCTTCATTGAGTTTATATCAATACGAACAATTTCAGATTATATTGGAAGTGAACAAATTATTATTCACAAAGATACCTTCTTATTTCTTAATTCGCAGGAATCTGGAATCTGTGAGTCGGTCCTGTCTTGTCCATACATCGATCACGTGCACTTGTTTATATCTATTGCACCTCATTGGATTAATAGTAAGTTCATCCAACCTCAGTTTATATAAACTATAAACAAAAGATAAGAATTGGATTTGGGTGACCTATTTTATTCGGTCACTGTAAAATAACCAATAACACTGTAAAATAATTTATGTCATAAGTGCATACATATAGGCAGAATTCATTGTAATAATACAAGCGATTGTATATGTGTGTGTGTGCGCGCGCGCACGCGCGCGCATGTTTAATAAAATTATTTAATGTTAATAAAGTTGTTTAAATAATTTAAATATTGATCTTTAAATATTTTTGTAATATGTTTAAAGATCATTGAAATTGAAAATTTGTTTGTTATTTAAATTATTACTCTATTGATATTATTTTGTTAATATAATCTGGCATTTGCTTCTTAATTTCAAGTTATTATTAAGTATTTATTATATTTTGATATATATATTAATAATTAATAAAATCGCATACTTTATGTAAAGTGATAATAAGATATATATATATATATATAT